AATAGCAAACAACCCAAAGTTCAGTAGTTGGTTAGTAATATATAACCTTTAACTTTAAAATAAATTTGTTACCTACTCAGATGTCCAAAAATTACATTAGAGTCATTGGAAAGCTTTTTAGTCTATTTCTAATAAAAAAAAGAATCGCATCATTTGGAGGTCGGTGGTAAAAGTTATCATTAAAATAGCGAGCAAAGGTCAAAGTTCACAACATTTAACTTGGTCATGCCCAACATTGGGTCTTTCCTCCACTCCTAAGGGCTTCCCAAACCTAGTTTTTAGGCTCTACTCACACTTAAATTAAAAAGACTCTCATCCATTCAAGGAAATATGAAAAAACTACGTAAAATTTCTTTGGCTACTTATGTGCCCACAGTTGACTCCTACAGCACAGTTTTTTGTACAAACCATATTTTTGTTTGTGTAATCGTTTACAAGGGTCCTTGTAATCGATTACAATGGCCAAAAAGGCCTAAAATTGATTACCAAGGCATAATTTGAAAGATCTTTGAGTCTATATTCCAACAAAATAGGAATCAACTCATTTGGCAGTTCGGTGGAGAAAGTTAAGAGCAAAACAACCAGCAGAGTGTAAGAGTTGGCAGGAATATATAAACTGTTAACTTTAAGGAATAAATTGTACCTACTCAGATGTCCAAAAATTATAAATTAGTAGTCATTGGAAAGATTTTTGAGTCTAGTTTCTAATAAAAAAAGAATCGCATCATTTGGAGGTCGGTGGGAAAAGTTATCATTAAAATAGCCAGCAAAGGTCAAAGTTCATAACATGTTATCTCACTCAAATTGTTTTGGCTACTTATGTGCCCACAACTGGGTCCTACAGCACAAGTTTTTGTACAAAACCAGATTTTTATTCTTGTAATCGTTTACAAGGCCCTTGTAATCGATTACATGAACAAAAATATGGTTTTGTACTAAAACTTGTGCTGCATGAGCCAACCGTGGGCACAAAGGTAGCCAAATACATTTTACGTAATTTTTTAATATTTTTTGAATGGATGAGAGTTCTTTTTAATATTTAAGTGTGAGTAGATCCTAGAAACTGGATTTTGGACAATCCTTGGTGGAGGAAAGACCCAATGTTGGTGTCTTGACCAAGTTAGGCAAAGTCCTGAAACAAGTGTAGGTCATTTTGTACCTTGTAATTGATTACAAGGGCCTTGTAATCGATTACAAGGTACAAAATGGCTTAACTTGTTTAAGACTTTACCTAACTTGGTCATGACACCAACATTCGGTCTTTCCTCCACCATGGACTGTCCAAACCTCAGTTTTGAGGGTCTACTCACACTTAAAAACTGAAAATACCTCTCATCCATTCAAGAAATATCAAAAAATTACTTAAAATATCTTTGGCTACCTGTGTGCCCACAACTAGCTCCTACAGCATAGGTTTTTGTACAAAACCAGATTTTTGTTCGTGTAATCGATTACAAGGGTCTTGTAAACGATTACACGAACAAAAATTTGGTTTTGTACAAAAACTTGTGCTGCAAGATCCAGCTGTGGGCACATAAGTAGCTAAAGACAATTTGAGTGAGATAACATGCCGTCAACTTTGACCTTTGTAGCTATTTTAATGATAATTTTTCCCACCGACCTCCAAATGATGCGATTCTTTTTTATTAGAAACTAGACTTAAAAATCTTTCCAATGACTACTAATTTATAATTTTTGGACATCTGGTACAATTTATTCCTTAAAGTTAACACTTTATATATTCCTGCTAACTCTTATCTTTGCTGGTTGTTTTGCTCTTAACTTTCTATACCGAACTCGAAATGAGTTGATTCTTGTTTTGTTGGAATCTAGACTCAAAGAGCTTTCGAATGACTACTAACTCATAATTTTTAGACCACTGTACTAGATGCAGTTAATTTCCCAAAAACAACGTTTTTCTAAGCTTCCTAAATGAGTTTACTTTTAGTTATTGTTTGATGTTTCTTATTTTAGATGGGTGAGTGAGTTTAATGGTCATGGGTGATGTTTAGTGCATCAATGAAAACATTAAGTTATTGAATTGTTGAGAAAAAAAGGTCATTTAGGTGCTTTCATGTAAGTTAGATGAGGTCCATGAGCATTGGTGGCCATTTTCTACCTTAGCAATCGATTACAAGGGTATTGTAATCTATTACTAAAGACCAGAGGGCCATTTGTACAAAATTTTCAACTATACTCCCCTCAGCTGGATGAACAACACTCCCCATGAAGGGTTTTGCTACGTTTTTGCTCATTTTGTTTCCAGTTTTTTAGATGAGTGAGTAAGTTGAATGTGAATGGTTATTTCTTAAGTGCAATGATGGTAAACCATTTTAACATTCAATGATGACCACATAGCTTCATTGTATTCCATTACTATTAACCTGACCATGTTCATTACAATGATACCATTATACATTAATCATAAAAAATAATACAGTCATCTTAAAAAATAATACAATTATCTTTATTAAGCACACATCGATCTCCTTGAACTCTACAAATTCTTCTCTAGAAAAAAAAAACCCACCACTAGAGTCTACCTATCTAACTAATAACTCATTCAACAAATTTCTATCTAGCTTAACATTGTCAGACAATTGTAAAAACCAAGTGAATGGTGTCTTTGCAATTAACTTCCTCTGGTGCGGGGCCAGTCTTCCATTCAAATCACCAACCTACTTCGTTTTGAAAGAATGACGTACATTCAACTGCATGAAAAATAAATCAATGACCATAGGATAAAATGAAAATGGGTACATTGAAAATGCTAAAGGGTAAATAAAAATGGAGTAAATGAAACGGGAGAAGGGGACATGGGAAAGGAGAAACTGACAATGCAAAGATGAAAGGAAATAACTTTTTACTGGAGTTTTCCATTACTTTAGCGGAGTCTCACCGGATTGTCTCATCGGAGAAGATAACCTTTTATGTTTGCTTCATGAGAGAGAAAGGAGAGGAATCACACGTTCTGAGAGAAGGATAGAAAGAGGATGAAAACGAAAATGAGATGTATTTTTGAAAACCAATTTCCAGTATTCTTACGTGCCAACCTTTTCGAAAAAATATTATTTACATACCCCAATAACATTTTAACACCTTATCAAAATGGTGTTAACAATTCGTTGTTAACATTTCGGGATCCTAATTATTTAGGAAGTGGGGTTAGGAAGCGGTGTACCTAAGACTAGNGATGGTAAACCATTTTAACATTCAATGATGACCACATAGCTTCATTGTATTCCATTACTATTAACCTGACCATGTTCATTACAATGATACCATTATACATTAATCATAAAAAATAATACAGTCATCTTAAAAAATAATACAATTATCTTTATTAAGCACACATCGATCTCCTTGAACTCTACAAATTCTTCTCTAGAAAAAAAAAAACCCACCACTAGAGTCTACCTATCTAACTAATAACTCATTCAACAAATTTCTATCTAGCTTAACATTGTCAGACAATTGTAAAAACCAAGTGAATGGTGTCTTTGCAATTAACTTCCTCTGGTGCGGGGCCAGTCTTCCATTCAAATCACCAACCTACTTCGTTTTGAAAGAATGACGTACATTCAACTGCATGAAAAATAAATCAATGACCATAGGATAAAATGAAAATGGGTACATTGAAAATGCTAAAGGGTAAATAAAAATGGAGTAAATGAAACGGGAGAAGGGGACATGGGAAAGGAGAAACTGACAATGCAAAGATGAAAGGAAATAACTTTTTACTGGAGTTTTCCATTACTTTAGCGGAGTCTCACCGGATTGTCTCATCGGAGAAGATAACCTTTTATGTTTGCTTCATGAGAGAGAAAGGAGAGGAATCACACGTTCTGAGAGAAGGATAGAAAGAGGATGAAAACGAAAATGAGATGTATTTTTGAAAACCAATTTCCAGTATTCTTACGTGCCAACCTTTTCGAAAAAATATTATTTACATACCCCAATAACATTTTAACACCTTATCAAAATGGTGTTAACAATTCGTTGTTAACATTTCGGGATCCTAATTATTTAGGAAGTGGGGTTAGGAAGCGGTGTACCTAAGACTAGAATTGTAAGTAACATGTCGCATCGGTTGTCTTCTTCAATCCAGGAATCGGTCATGGAAATCCCCAGATAGGGTCTCTCCTCTCTCTATTCTCCAAACATACCATAAACAAATCTCTCATTTTCTACGTCAAACTCTCTTTCTTTTTCTTCACCACCCAACAAATAAAACACCATCTTTTTCTTTCTCTCTCTCTTTCTCTATAATGCTTCTTACTTCTTTGACTACTTCCCCTTCTCTTCTCCCCAATTTTTTCTTTCCCAACCAAATCAGGTTGCTCGTTTCTGCTTCTCTCTCAATTACCACCTTTGCAGATTTTTAAATCCTTAAATGTACTGTTTTCCTCTGTCTTGTCTTGTTCGGGACTCCCTTTTTACTATTTTCTTAATGGATAAAATTGTCTGTTAATGCTCACGTAAGGTTCAAGGATTGTGCGGTGCTTTAATGCTTCCTCAACTTCTTTGTAATTTTTTAACTTAGACCCCGATCTTGGGTTTTGCCATTCACTGTTGCTTCCACTGAAAACTTTTTAAACTTGTATTGATTTACTGTTTCTTGATTCTTGCTCTTCTCGATTTTATTTAAATACTTGTTCAGATGAACTTCGTCTGTTCTTTAAAATAATGAAACTCATCCGTATCTACTGAATTCTGCAAAGAAAGCCTTAGATCTGGTTAGAATTTGTTGCTCTTCGTAGTTCTTTAGAAGATACCCCGAATGCATTTTTCGAATTACTGTTTATTACATCGACACATATTGTGCAAGGAGTGATGTCTCCCTGTTGATTTTGTCTGTATTTGCTGCAGTACGTTTTAGGTTGGTTGTGCTGTTGTATTCTTTCTTAACTGGATTTTGTTTATTTTTTTCTTTAGTTGTTATCCTTTTGTTCTTGGGTTTAATCTGTAAATTGGTCCTAGATGCCCTATAAACTCTCATACGCGGGTCTTAGTTTGCTTTTTTGTTATATGATTGCACGTTTTCGTGTGCTCTTATGGTTCATTTCACCAATAAACTCATGCTGGTGTTCTGTCTGTTAGGTTTGCTACATTGGCACTATGTTAAAGCAAATTCTTAGCAAATTGCCCAAGAAGGTGCCAAAATCTGACACATCAGATTCGGCTCAGAGTGATTCCGGGAGTGCTACTACTTTTGCAAATGTCTTTCAGTGTTCGAATGTTGGGGTTGCCATTTCAAACAAATTAAATGCAGTGAAGCGGGTATCATCAGTGGTATTTCCAGCAAGCTTGAGTGCTGGAGTGGAAGCAGTTGATCCCCATATATCTTTCAAAGATGTTTCAAATATACAGAAGCAAAACCTGTTTATCAGTAAGTTGAATCTTTGCTGCACTGTTTATGATAAGAATTGTACAGAGAAAGATGTTAAACATCAAACATTAGTAGAGCTTGTTGATTTTGTTTCTTCTGGATCTGCAAAGTTCACAGAACCATCAATAGCTGCAATGTGTAAAATGTGTGCAAGTAATTTGTTCAGGGTTTTCCCACCTAAGTTTCGTCCTAGTGCTACTGGTGGAGAAACAGAAGATGAAGAGCTTATGTTCGATCCTTCCTGGTCTCACCTGAAAATTGTTTATGATCTTCTCCTTCAATTCATAAATTATAACGCACTTGATCTAAAGGTGGCAAAATTGCATATTGATAATGCGTTCATTGTTAGATTGCTTGACCTTTTTGATTCTGAGGACCCTAGAGAAAGAGATTGCCTGAAAACAATTCTGCATAGAGTCTATGGGAAATTCATGGTACACAGGCCTTTCATACGGAAATGTGTCAGCAATATCATCTACCGATTTGTTTTCGAGACTGAACGTCATAATGGAATTGCTGAGTTGCTGGAGATTTTTGGGAGTGTAATTTGTGGGTTTGCGTTGCCACTGAAGGAGGAGCACACAATATTTTTGTGTAGGGTTTTAATGCCCTTACACAAACCTAAATCTGTTGGTAGTTACCATCAGCAATTAACATATTGTGTTTTACAGTTCATTGATAAGGATCCAACACTGGCTAGCACGGTGATAACGGGGCTACTGAAGTACTGGCCAGTAACAAATAGCCAAAAGGAGCTCATGTTCATAAGTGAGTTGGAAGAGGTTTTGGATGCCACAATCATGACTGAATTTCAGAAGGTTATGGTCCCACTGTTCCGACGAATAGCTTGCTGTCTCAATAGCTATCATTACCAGGTAATTTCGGTTAATCTACTGCTCTTTTAGCTTCATTTTCATATGCAAGAGTAAGCTTGTGTCGATTAAACTTAATACATATTCTTTTCACCTTGTAGAGAGAACTTCCGTGTAAAGTAGTAAGAAATTGGATTCAGCTTGTAAATACCGTTATGTTGCCAATCCCTTTTTCTGTCTCTTCTCGATCATACATTGATGTAGCCTTGGTGTCATGCAATGCAATTTCCAGTTACATGGTTTTGGAGCTCTGACGAGAGTGTTGTGTTGGATGAGTGTACATATTAGACAAGATAGGATTAAGAGTAATGCATCAAATAGAAAAGTGTGTAGAAACAGTCTCACCTTGGATGATTTGGACATGTCACTTGTGTGGAAGAAACTGTAGAAGCAAAACTATTGGAAAAACCATCAAGAAGGATTTAGAGATCAATGGCCTATTCTACAAACGTGATATACAATGACTTGTTTGATTAATGGAACCGATCCCACCTTTCAGTAAAAGACTAGATTGCTGTATTGTTTTGGTGATGATAACTGTGATGAAACACTGTCTGACTGACCATATATTTTTCAACAAACTTTTTCTTATACATTCTTTATTATTAGTTGCATAAAAAATTTATCAGAAATCATGAATGTATCTCATTGAATACGGAGTGGGATCTAAACAACACAGTTTTGTGATTTTCAATAAAATTTTCAACCTTAAATAAAAAGTGTATCAGAGGGCATGTAGTTAGTATTTCTATTTATGAAGAATATCTATCTATCAGTCTTCTTATTCATATCTTTGTTCAGGTGGCTGAACGAGCTCATTTGCTATGGAACAACGAACACATCTTCGATGTTGTCTCTCAAAACCGGGAGGTGATTCTGCCTCTTGTGTTCACAGCACTTATACATAACACCCAAAATCACTGGAACCGAGCAGTGCTCAACCAGACCGAGAACATGAGGAAGATGCTGTCTCAGATGGACGAGGAACTGGTGCTTGCCTGCCAACTCAAGTTGGAGGAGGAAGATTCAAGGTCAAGTGCCGCAGCTGAGCAGCGAAGAGTGACATGGGAACGTCTTGAAGCTGCTGCCACTGCCAATATCCAACCTATAGCTGTAGCAGGTGATGTAGTAGCATCTCCTGCATGTTCGGTGGCATGCTAGTTGACAGTGCGAGTGTGAATGTTCAAATTACTGAGCAACATGGTTCTTGCGTTTTTCCATGTTGTAAGATGAATTTGCAATGGCATTTAGGTTTGTAAAAATCCTAGATGTTTGCCTTAAAAAATGTTTAGAACGTGTTGCTTGTGTTGTGGGAATTGAAAGGGTATTTGTTTGTGGTGTCGGTGCAGTCACGCATGCAATTATTTGGTGTGTCAGCAGCATCCACTTCTCACTACCCAATGACCTGGCTGGCCCCCACTTTAGCACTTGTATTGGTTGAGTGGTATTGCACTGTACTGAGGAATCGATGTGGTGCCATTGCTGATATTCCTTAACCATACTCTAACACTATGTATGTAGATGTCTATGCATAATGCAGCCTTTTTCTACTGGAGATAGCAAATGTCTTCCATTCTGTCGTTTTGGGAAAACTAGTAATGGTACTCTAGCTAATTTTATTTTTTATAAATTGCTTGGGTAATTTTTTTTAAGTTTAATTTTCATGTTTGGTGACAATTTTGTAGTGTGAACGAATTGGGGAAAATGGTTTCTGATATAATTTCTAGAGTAATTATTTTGAAGTTAATATTTTCATTATATACTTGATTCTTTTTTGTTTGACGCCTTCTTCGTAAGTGCCTCCTCACTGAAGATAATTTCATATTTAGAGGATGCGTTGTAGTTTTGTAAAAGAATTATGATGCTGCTTATAATAGACTTCTAGAAAGATTCCACTTACTAACAATTCCTTTTAGAAAAGGGTTTGATACTTCTATTTTTTATACTAATCACAATCCTAATTTTGATTAGTAGAATATTGAAGGATCTAAGCCATATATGTAGTCTTTACAATATGGTTTTACTCCCAGCAGTATCAAAGACTATCAGCCTTCTTATAGTCATCACAGTTCACAAGCATGGTTTCAAATGAGGTTTCTATTACTCCTTCAACACCATCTAGTTAGAATGAGTCTCCATGTAAAATGATAATAGTTCTTCATTTTTCATTCTTGGATAGTTAATACATGGACTATTGATCATATATGTCCATCTTCATCCAATCTCATTTCTTTTAATCAAATAGACTAGGACGTATTAGACTATCAAATGAAAAATAAAGTCATAAAAAAATTATTTTAGTCCGTGACATATCTTAACAAATAATTTTAGGGGTTTAAAATAATATATTCACACTAAGCATAATTTAATAACTTAGATGTCCAATATTCATGTAAGTTACTACCAAATGTTGCAAGTAGTGTGGGAATTTCTTTTGCTCCTACATATATTGCATCACCCTTATTTTACAAGTGAACAAATATATGGAACAAGTGCATTCTCTTTAATTACTATCAACATTAATCCTGACTTTATTTTTGTCAAAAAACGATAGATTAAGTGGCAGAGTGAAGGAGTCAACACCACCTATTCTAATAAAACTCTGCCATTGATTTTTATTTTTCTTCTTTTTTAATCTTTGGTCAAACAATAATTCATTAAATATTATTGGTTCAACTAAGATGCATGATAATATTTATATATTCAAGGTGTCTTCTTACCAAAACTACATCAAGTCTTCAAAGTCATATCCTAATGTTGTTAATTTTGTCTTTGTTGATCTTAAGACCTATGAACAATTTCATTTAGGACGTACTTTAAATAAATATATTGATATAACCAAAACGAAATTTCCTTTTGTTAAGTAGACGAATCCTATATTTATGATGTTTTCCTTCGTTCAAAACGAATAAAAAAGGAACTTTTCTTTCCAGTTAATGATTCTAAATTTGCCAAATGTTTTGATGATATACATGTTAATCTTAGAGTGTCGTACTCCATATCTTCTATTGAGGGATATAAGTATTTTCTAACCATTGTAAATGATCATTTTAGGTACACCACTGCCAACAACTCCTTTTATTAAGTAGAGAGTGACTGCTACTGAACATTCAAACTGCGACTAATGATCTTGTAAACTAGCATTGTAGAGAAATATATCATCAAATAAGACAAGGAGGAACTTTCTCAAAAACTCATTATATTCATCAATCCCTGAAATGTTGCAGGGTCATTGGTGAGCCCAAATGGCAAAACTAAATACTCAAAATGGCCTCCATGCGTCTTGAAAGTAGTCTTATGCACTTAAAAGGTCATCCACCAAAGGAATGAGAAACTTGTCTTACTTTTTTTATTAAGGTCTTTTTTGCGACCAAAACTATAGGGCTTGCATACGGACTGTTACTTTGTTGTATAATACCATTGTCCAGTGATTCTTTCACCAATCTATCAATATCTTTTTGTTGTTTCCTATATTTGTAAGGTCACTTACTAATTGGATTGGCTCCTTGCACAAGTGGAATTCTATGATCATGTCTACCTCTTGAAGAAGGCAGGGTCGTTGGTTCATTGAAAACATCTTCAAATTCCAACAACAATTGCTCTATATCACCAGTTATATCATTTTCAAGAGCGTGTGTTGTCAAGGAATGTAATAAACCCATTTCTTGGTTGCAAGGTTGTATCATGGAGAAGTGTACACTACTTTCCAAAGCCTTGGACAATTGTTGTTTTCTCACAGTTTTAACATTAGTTGTAGCTCCTGTTAGTGCATGTTTCTTGCTTGAAAAAACAAAACTATAATGGATAACTTATCAAAATTCCAAGTAATATCCCCTAGTGTCACAAGCCATTCAATTCCCAACACCAAATCACAACAGCCCAGGGGAATTAACATAACATCATAAGTGAATTTAGTACTTTGAATTGTCCAAGAGAAGCCTGTAACCTTAGAAGAAACTGTAATTTTAGTGTCATCCACAACTATGACATTCAGAGGTTGCACTGGATACTTTACAACCAAGCTTTTTAGCTACATCAATGTCCAAAATGTTGAGTGCTGCCACTATCAATGAGCACATGCAAGGGTTTCTTGCTGACATAACCAGTGGCTCTCATAGTTTTAAAACTAGGCAAACCAGTCATAGCATTCACTGAAATTACGTGGTCAACAGTGTCGTGCTCCAATTTTTCCTCTGCAAGGGACATATCGTTCAAAGTTTTTGTCATTTCATCAACCTCCATAACATGAATGCGTAACTTTTTGTGTGTTAGAACGTGTTCCACAATGAAGGGTTCATCACAAAAGTAACATAAACTCTTGGCACGTCGTGCACTCATATAAGCTGGGGTAAGGGGCTTTTTGTAGCTTGTGTTTGAGGTTTGAAAGTGTGTGATGATTTGGGTGGGTTAGGCAGTATAGGAGGCGTGTTGGCAGGGACAAGTTTAAATGATTTAGGAAATGGTTTTGATGTTGGGGTGGAATTGGTCCTAGATTCATATAATTTTGCCAAGGAATGTGATAGCCACCCAGTTTATTTAAAACTGTAAAGATTTCCAAGACAGGTTCTTGGATGTTCATCCAGAAAAACTAAACTTTATTAACAATGAAACAAGCACAATAATCTAAATTGTTACACTAGCCCTGGTCTTTCGAGAGGACCAGACTCTCCCTAGCCTTTCCTTTACAAAACTTCCTAAAAAACTGCTAAAAACAACTGCTTACATAGACTTTATAAAAGTCTAAGACAACAAAACCTACCCACAGACAATTATAATTGTTTGTCCCTTTTATATCTCCTAATAAACTAAATCATACAGTTTTTCTTATGCTAAAAACCTTCCCTTTGTACCTATCAATACTCCCTCCATGAAGTTTCACCTTGTCCTCAAAGTGAAAAGCAAGGAACTCTGTATTGATGGTTGTTGCAGATTCCAAGCTGTTTTGAATGGATGAGAGGTGTTTTAAATTGTATGAACTACCTTCTTTTTTCCTTAATTTGTAAAATGTATCAAACTTATCAACACCCGCTCCATGAAGGTGCATCTTATCCTCAAGGTGAAAGTCTGGAACTTCTTTACGAATGCAGGCAGCAGATTCCCCTAACTCCTGAATTTCCTCTTCCGAAATAAGAAGCATATGGAGCTGTTTATTTTTGCAAGTATGATTAGGCCTAAACTTTTCATCACACCTGAAGCATAAGCCCTTTTTTTTTTTATCTTATCTTGCAATTCTTCTTGGGACAATTTTTAAATGGTGCCCCTCCTTGTTGAGTCCCAGCAGGAGAATTATTGATGGTGCTCACACAACCATTGCTCTCTCCACTTCCTCTGTTGGAGTTAGTAAAACTCATCGAATTTCCCCCTTCCTTGGAGTAACTGCGAGTAGGTGGCAATTGTCTATAGGTGTTACTTTGAAGTTGCATCGTGAGGGGTGACTCTAACCTTTTCCTCCACCATTTGAGCCTTCATCATTAACTCAGCAAGGCTCTTGGGCTCATACAACTTAACCTCTACCCTTATTCCGTCCTTCAATCCATTCAAAAAAATGTCAGTCAAATAATCCTGTCTTATACCTTTCAAGAATCCAGCATATTGTTCAAATTGTTCAATATACTCTCCCACCTGTTCAATTTGTCTAAGCCCAATCAAGACTTCAAAAGGATTTTGAAGCATTGTTGGTTGGAACCATTGAACAACTGCCTCTTTGAAAGCCCCCCATATGGGATTCGGATAGCAAGTCTCCCACCACTGGAACCAATTCAGGGCTTTTCCCTCCAAAGCCACCATAACAACCCCCATCTTCTCCTCTTCATTGACTTCTTTCAACAGGAAATATCTCTCCAACTGGTTAGTCCAGCCATAAGCATCTTCTCCTATAAAAACAGATCTAGCTTCCTCCATTTTTCCCCAGTCAGTCCTGAACGTCCACTTTCAGTCCTTCCATCATTCTTGAGACTGCTTGTACTGCCTTCCTTGACAATAGAAGCACTATCCGCTATTTGTTTATTAGAGGATGTGAAACATTCCACCAACCCTGTTAACCCTGTAAGCATTTCCTCCAACCTTTGGAACCTTCTCTAATTTTCATGGTCCTGTTCTTACACTATGCGCTCCAATCCATCCAATCTTGCCTCCATTCTCGTATTGACCATGCTGCACGGCCACCATAGCACCAGGAAAGTGGCTTTGATACCAATGATAGGCACCCAAGTTTATTTAAAACTGTAAAGATTTCCAAGACAAGTTCTTGGATGTTCGCCCAGAAAAACTAGACAACTTTACTAACAATGAAACAAACACAGTAATCTAAATTGTTACACTAGCCCTGGTCTTTCGAGAGGACCAGACTCTCCCTAGCCTTTCCCTTACAAAATTTCCTAAAAAACTACTAAAAATAACTACTTACATAGACTTTATAAAAGTCTGAGACAACAAAACCTACCCACAGACAGTTATAACTGTTTGTCCCTTTTTCTTCTACTGAAAACCTTCCCTTTGTAAATGTCTTAGCTTCATTATAAGTTTTAATTTAATATTACTAAATTAATCGAAACCCTTTTAATCTTAACGTTA